GGCTTAACTCTAATTATGGTTCAGAATTGTTGACTGTACAGCATTGGTATGTTGCTGAACAGATAATGGTGTTCCTGGAACTCTTTTATGATTCTACTGTTGTTCTGTCTGGTGTTTACTATCCCACAGCTCCACTTGTTTTGCATCATATCCTTGACATTGTTGAGCATCTGCATAAAGCTGAAACAGATCAGAATTTAGAATGATTGCTTATCCTATGAAGCTTAAATTTCTTAAATATTGGGAGAAAATTCCACTGCTCTATTCATATGCATTCATTCTTGATCCTAGAGCTAAGATCAAAGGATTCTTTAATGTGCTTGAATTGCTTGCTCAATATACTAGATCCAGTTATAGTTTATACTATGGTGATGTCAAAGCTGAATTGTACAGATTGTTTAACAAGTATGAGCAGAAATTTGGTGGGGTAGCTAGGACTCAAAGGGTTTCACAGCCTTCAGCTCATTGTGGTAAGAGAAAGCAGGCATGGGGAAGGATCTTTGGAGGTCCTGGTGCTTCCCCTGGCTCTGGTTGTTCCCCCTCATCTTCATCTACTCCATCTGGTTTTGGTGTCAGTGAGCTCTCAGCTTACTTGGACAGTGACCCTGTCACATGTTATGAGGAATCCTTTGACATACTGCTCTGGTGGCGTGACCACAAGCTAACCTATCTAATCCTATCTATTATGGCTCGAGATATCATGTCTGTTCCTGTATCTAGTGTCTCTTTCGAGTCTTGTTTCAGCTGTACAGCTAGGATACTCGAAGACCGACGGCGGCGCTTGTTGCCGGAGCATGTGGAGATGCTCACCTGCATGAAGGACTGGGAGCAAGCAGTAAGAAGAGAACAGCATGCACCGAGGATGTGGACTGGAGGAGGCATTCAAGAACCTCTTCCTTGATGGTGAAGGCGAAGCCCGGCCGCGCAAATGGCGGCAAGGTGGCAAGGCATGCTTTGGTCTTTGGATAGAAGAAGTGAAGAACCTCTCCTCTCGCTCTCAGGTACTCAACTCAAATCTATAACTATAAGTACCAGCCTGTTTACATTAATGGCAAAACAATAACATGAATTATGTACAATTTTGCAGGTACTTTTGGACTTCTTTTGTTGTGCTGGATACAACAAGTGAAGAAGAACTGGAGAGAGGAGAGCCTGAGAGGTACTGACTGTCTATCTCAACTAAATACTATGACTCAATCAACTCAATATTTTTGGACTGATTGGATTCTTCTATTTTTGCAGGTACTTTTGGAGTTTTGGTCTTTTGCTGGTGGCTGGTGCTGTGCTGGACTGCTGGTCTGCTGTGTTGTGCTGTGAAGCTGTGTGTGTGACTATGAGTCTGTGTGTCTGTGACAGTAAGAAGAGTGAGTGACTGAGTGTGGACTCTGATTCTGTCATTCTGTTTCTGTGAACTTTGCCACAGTCATTCTGTGAACTTTGCCACAACTGTTGGCTTTTGTAATAACACATTAAGACTAAGACTTTGAGCTGGCTGCACTCTTTTTTTCTTTTTAGGGTTTCTCACAAGGGTGAATTTTACCTAGAAAGGTTTTTAATGAGGCGGCATTGCACAAAACAGCTTCTTTTGATTATCATTTTCATATAATCTAGTCTCCTTTTGTCTTTGTGCTGTGATCTGTGATGTGAACTGTCAGTCTATCACTGTGAATGAAAATGGTAACTTATCAGTTGATCAGTTAACAGTTGTGTGAATGTGAATGTGAATGTTGAATGTTGATCAGATCAGTTCATAACTGTGTATGAATGTGAATGTTGATAACTGTGTGTGAATGTGAAATGAAAATGTGATCTTTTGTTTGTTGAAATTTGAAAATGAAGTGTTTCAGCATTTGGTGGTTTTTTGGAGGTGTTCTTTTTGCCTGTCGGGCTGTAGGCCGGCCCGGCACGGTGAAAATGGCCGTGCCCAACGGGCGGCACGGCACGGCCAAACGGCCCATGGGCCGTGCCTTGGGCCGAAGGCCAGGCACGAGCACGATGCAGGCACGGCCCGACAGGCACGGCGGCCCGTTGAGGCACGACACCGTTCCGGGCCGGCACGGCCCGATGGCCATGTATACTTAGAACCCACTAAAGAAAAACTCATGGATTATAGGGCCAGCCCACTTCCCTCCTAGGAGTATGCCAGTTTCAGTAGAGTTTTGTTGGGCTTCCCTCCTATGCCAATTTCAGTAGTTTTATATGCAAGTATTGTGACACATCAGTAGATTTGATGATGTAGTAGATTACTTATAAAAAGAGATAGAGAGTTTCATCTAGAAATTAAATGAGTCATGAAATTAAATATCTGTAAAACCATAGAATAAAACTTTACTTGAGTAAATGTTTTATTTTATTCTATATGACATGATAGTATTAGAAATAATGTTACGAAACTTCTCACCGATGAGACTGACCTTACTTTTTTTTGTGACCTTCCGACAAGCTCGCTGGAGGGGGACTAATAAAACTAAGGTGTACTCTACTCCCTCTATCCCAGTATATAAGGCGTAACCACCTCTGGTTCAAAGATCAAGAAACATATTTAATTCTCTCTTTCTCCCAACACTAGTATTACTGCATCGATGTACGTGTGCCAAAAGAAAGCACGACTTATATTATAAGACTTGAACAAAAAGTGGTTGCGCCTTATATATATTAGAACTGAGGGAGTATGTGTTTATCCATCCCAAAGTACTTGATTTTATAGCTTTTAAATTTTGTCCCGAAATATTTGACCTTATAGAATTTCAATGTACCTTTTTCTTTTTCCAACACATCTTTTTTTCTAATACATCTCTTTTCTTTTTCCAATACCTGGGTACGCTTAATTCGTACACAATTGACCTGTTTAACTCATTAAATATAATAATCATTTACCTATTGTTTTTCATAAATAATATGGAACCTAACTAATTTTTGAAGAAAAATGACAGAAGCTTTGCCTTACATCAAAATAGAAAAAAAGACTAAGTTTTGCCCCTACTAAGGGCCGGAGTCCCAAAAACAGTGGGCAAGACCAAAGTTAGCACAGATTATAAATGCCAAGACTAAGACCTTGTTCGCTTCGCCGAAATGCCATGGCTGAAAGTACCGTTCGTTGATTTATTACGAGAGAAAAATATTGTTCCTTAAGGCAAGCGAATAGGGCCTAAATCGCGCCCATTACATGTCCCTAGGGGCCACCGAGTCCCCAAAAACAGCGGGCACGACCAAAGTTTAGTATATACAGATTATAAATGCCAAAAGACTAAATCAAAGTCTTTCTTCGCGCGAGTCGCCATAGCTAGTGACGTGGATCTTCATTTTGAAAATGCAACCTGACTGATGCAATGGGTTTCGACTCTTCGGGTCCACACGGCACTGAGTCTTATGTCAGTTGGATCATTTATATAAAACACAAAACGCGTGACAATGTCATACATGCGCGTTGGTTGCAGTTGACAGACGGGGCCAATGGGCCATCAACTTGACAAGGGTAACGCTCTAGCGTATAGTATAAAAGAACAACAAAGCTGCAGTTCCCCAACCCCCTTCTCTCTCTGCAGCCTCTACACCAACACCAATGCTTATCCCATCTAAACTCCATCCTGTCTACTCAGTTGCTACTCAAATCAGGTACCAGCTACACCCAGGGACACAACAGGCAGCCTCCTCGTTTTGTTCCAGTTCATGAAAGGATGCGTTGACGTGATGCCCTCAATATTGAACTAGAAAATTCACACACATCACTGGATTTCGTCTTTAGCTCTGTGCTCTTCCTGTCTTCCTTTCCTGATCTTCCACCACATCAGGTATGTTAAGAAATTTCTCATTCAAGATGGATATAGGGCTCAAATAATTCTTTGTTTCTTTCATGATCACTCAGGAATCATCCACCTATGTGAGCATATAACATCATTTCATTGCATCTGCCTTCATTTTTGCAAATACATACATGTTGAGCGCGCGTTTAGTTCGCGAAAAGTGTGAAATTTGGCTACTGTAGCAATTTCGTTTTTATTTGGTAATTAGTGTTCAATCATGGACTAATTAGGCTCAAAACGTTCGTCTCGCAATTTCCAACCAAACTGTGCAATTAGTTTTTATTTTCGTCTACATTTAATGCTCCATGCACGTACTGCAAGATTCGATGTGACGGGTACTGTAGCACTTTTTGGGAAAACTTTTCGCGAACTAAACAAGGGCTGAATCAACTATCAACATATCATCAATAAATAAAAAAGACACACTAACCAAGCCGTGGATTCGGCATGTAATGACCATTTTCTATCTATTAATGAAATGACATGCAACTCTCCTACATGTTTGATATAAATAGAAAAGAGCTAAAGCGTAAATCCTTGTAGATTCTATCTGCACTTTAGTGCTAACACCAGGTGCTTTGTATTGATAGTTGTAGATCTCATCTGATCATCGATAGTAACTTTTGCGAAAACAAAACTCTGTAGTTCGAAAGAAAGAATTAAAAGTAAATTCCCTAGTTGGATCTAATTAGTTTCTTGTGCATATACTAATGCTGAAGTTATCAACTGATCTCAGCCACAAGTTTGCCTTACACTTTCATACGAGGATGAATGCCCAACTGTCAATCTCAAGTTTTCAAAGGTTGACCATATGCTACTGTAGTACTGTAGAGCTTTACACCTACAAGGTATAAAAAATGTGCTGTTTAAAAAGTTAAATTATTCTAGAGGATAGCCTTACTCCTGAAATGCTGATAAGAACCCAAATATTAAGATTATGTATCATGGTAGGCATTCTGTTATCTAGCGCGCTATGTAAATTTAAACATTTAAAGTTGATGAAGACAATTTAGTATCTATCTGTATGAGCTCACAGTGAATATGGATATCTAGGTTCAGTCGGTCACTAATGTATTAAAAAACTGAAAATTTGTATTGTATTCAACAGGATCAGTGAAGAACATAAATGGAGGTGAAGTCTGGTTGGTTAAACTAGCATATCCAAAATACCACATCAATAGGGAAGAAGACAAAAATATGGCAGAGGCAGCAGTAGTCCTAGCTCTTAGCAAACTTGTTACCTCTTTTGGAGTAGCATCACTGAGGGCTTTCATAAAGAAAGAAGTCACACTGTCGCAAGATTTACCAAGGACTGTGAAACGCATTGAAAGGGAATTGGACATGATTCATCATTTCTTAAGCCAAGTTGGATCAAAAATCTACAGCAATACAGTTCTTGAAGGCTGGATAGTGAGGGTGAGGAAGGTTGCTTATTGTGTCGAGGACATAATAGATGAGTACTGCTATAACATTGATCTATTACAGGAAGAAGGATTTTTCAAGAGGGTGATACACACAACCTACTATGCAAATGCTTTTCGTGTCATTGCTTCAGAAATGAAAGACATTGAGGAAGAGATCAAACACCTGTCACAACTGAAAAGAGACTACAGAGAAATGTTCAATGAGTTACTTGACAACACAAGTAACAATACTAAAATTCAATCCCTAACATATAATGAGAATCCTCGTGCCATTAAAGTAGATGACATTGTCGGCATGAAGGAATACTTGGAACTGCTGCAAAAATGGCTAGATCCCAAGGAATTAAAGCGGATAGTAGTATCAGTGTGGGGTTTTGGTGGGTTAGGTAAAACTACCCTAGTCAGGAAGGTTTACGACAGGGAAATGGGACTGAAAAGTTTTGATTGTTATGCATGGGTTAAAATATCACATAGTTATGACATTCGTGTTATATTTAGGCAGTTGATTCAGGAGCTAAATAAGGACTATGGCAAAACTCCTGCTGATGTCGGTATTATGCACTGTGATAAGCTCGGTGATGCATTAAGGGGAGCATTATCAAATAAGAGGTACTTTATTGTACTCGATGATGTTTGGGATACAAGAGCTTTTAATGAGTTATCTGACCTGTTGGTGGATAACCATAAAGGAAGTCGGATAATTATCACAACCAGGAATAATGATGTTGCTTCATTAGCACAAGAAATGTACAAGATGAAGCTTAACCCACTCGGTGCTGATGATGCATTTGAACTCTTTTGTAGAAGGACTTTCCAGAATAGCAACATGGAGTGCCCCTGTCATCTCAAGGAATTATCTAAGCAGATAGTGAACAAGTGTGGAGGTTTGCCACTAGCAATTAATGCGATAGGAAATGTACTAGCAGTACAGGAACCAGACGAGATAACATGGAGAAGAATGGATAATCAGTTTAAATGTGAGTTGGAGGACAACCCTAGGCTAGACAAAGTAAGGAGTGCACTGAGCATAAGCTTCGCGTACCTTCCAAGACACCTCAAGAACTGCTTTTTGTATTGCAGCATGTTCCCACAAGATTATATTTACACACATGAGCAGATTGTCAAGCTATGGATAGCCGAGGGTTTTGTTTCACACAGAGGGCAAAGTACATTAGAGGAGGTTGCAAACGGCTATTTTACTGAGTTGATTCATCGAAGCATGTTGCAACTTGTGGAGAATGATGAGACTGGCAGAGTGGTAAAATGCAGGATGCATGACATTGTGAGAGAATTAACTCTCTCATTTTCCAGGAAGGAAAGATTTGGTATGGCAGATATAACAAACCTTGAGAACAAGGACGATGTTCGTCGATTATTGTTGTCAAACCCTGATCAGGTGAATCAGCTGATAACATCAAGAATGGATTTTCCACACCTTCGAACATTTATTGCAACCAGAGAAGTTGCAAGTGACCAGTTGTTATGCTTATTGATTTCCAAGTATAAATACCTTTCTGTTCTGGAGCTGCGAGAGTCACCCATTACCAAGATCCCGGAAAATATTGGGAATTTATTCAATCTGCACTACCTTGGCCTGAGGAGAACGCGTGTTAAGTCCCTCCCAAGGTCAATTAAAAGGCTTTTGAATTTGGAAACGCTGGACCTGAAGTCAACTTGCATTGCAACCCTGCCAAAAAAGGTATCCAGGCTCAAGAAACTGAGGCACTTATTTGCTGAGAAATTGGCTGACGAAAAAAAGCAGCATTTACGCTACTTTCAGGGTGTGAAGTTTCCAGACGGAATTTTTGACTTGGTACAGCTGCAAACTCTCAAGACTGTCGAAGCAACCAAGAGATCAGTGGAGCTGTTGAAACGTCTGCCCGAGCTGAGGCTTCTGTGTGTTGAGAATGTACGCCGTGCTGACTGCAGGATACTGTTTGCATCCATCTCAAATATGCAGCACCTCTATAGCTTGCTCATCAGCGCCAAGGATCTAGAGGAACCTCTGAATTTTGCTGCTTTCGATCCTAGACATACACAGCTAGAGAAACTCACTATCAGAGGATGCTGGGACAATGAGACCTTCAGGGGACCAGTGTTCTGTGAGTATGGTATCAACATAAAGTATCTGACACTAACCTTTTGTGAAAATGATGCTGATCCACTGTCCTCAATCTCATTGAGCATGCCTAACCTGATATTCTTGAGCATCCGCCGGGGATGCTGGGCTGATGATATAATAGTACGTGCGGGATGGTTTCGTCAACTGAAAACCCTTTACTTGGAGAACCTGGACCGACTAAAGAGACTGTTTATCGAGGAAGGTGCCCTTGTCCGGCTTGAAGTGCTTCTTATGTTGTCTCTAACGTCTCTCAAGGAAGTTCCTAAAGGTTTGGAGCTTGTTTCATCCCTCAAGAAGCTTAATGTCTCAATGCAGCCCCCTGAATTTAAGTTAGAATGGGAAAGAGACAACTGGAGGATGAAGCTGCACCACGTCCAAGAAATATGTGTGTAAGAAGTTATTGGTTGATTGGTCACTAGTTACTGCTAAGTATTATCAAATATCAATATTTATCAGTCAAGGATTTGTATTTATTCTTGTCTGTTATGTTTCCTCCAGATCTTCAATGTTGGTATACTGGACTTTTGTTTAAAGTTTATTCATGCAGTGGTAAACAATGAATTGTAAAAATATTGTTTGCTAATTGTCAAAATATTGTTTGCTACAACAGTATATTACCATAGTTGTTCATTTGTTGTGAGAGTATTTTTTTTTTATCTCAACAGCATATTATATAATCCCTCCGTTCCAAATTCTAAGATGTTTTGGCTTTCTAGATACATTGCTTCTACTATGTATCTTGACATAGTGTATATCTAAAAAAGCCAAAATGTCTTATAATTTGGAACGGAGGGAGTAGTTCTTATTTGCGATTTTGAGGTAAGAATGACAAGGCTGATCCCGATCCCTAAAGAAAACATGTCCATTGCCACTTGAGTTTCGCACAAGAAAAGTATTTAGTGGCATCCACCTTATACACTTCACCTCCACAACTCAATTTTCCTCAGCCCTGCTAACCTACCCCATTAATGGGGTGGGTGCACATACCACTACAGTCTACAGCAGCACCTAGGTACAAGTCCACTTCTGCTTCAATAACCATGCTGTGGCTTTGAATCTTTGATCAACATATTGTAATCTACATCCACAAGTAAAAAACTAGGGAAGAATTCAATCAAGTTCATGCTGCAATTCTGTCTTAGCTTCCTACTTGAGCCTTCAAAGATCGCAAATTCGTACCGATTCGACATCAAAACAGAAGAGAACATTGTTACCAGGAGCATAGTTGTAGTAAAGTCAGGTGGCGCGGCGGGGTCGAACGCAACCGCCGGCACGCGATTACGGCTGTCGGAGCTCCCGGGACGGTTCCTGCCTCTTGGCGCGCTTCTAGCCGCCGGCCGCCGGAAGGCGCTCTGCTCCGCTCTCGGTTTCCGGAGAGGCGGAGAACAAGAGGACCTGTGGGCAGTGGGTGTGGTTCTGATTCCGGCTGCGGGCTGGGCTGTAGAAAGTAACTTTGGTGGTGCAGCGCAACCAGAAGAAGTTGGAGCGGACAGAGTGGCCTTACGGGCCTACCATTATGGGCCTGTCCTTGCCACAGCAGCGGACCAAAAGCTAGGCCTGGTTGCGATCCAAGACGCTGCACGGAGCGGAGCGAGGGAAGCACAGCGCCGGCGATGGCGACTGCGAAGCGAACCCGGCGGTGGCGGGGGCGTCGGGGCAGCGGGACAAGCCAGCGGAGTCGCTGGCTCAGCTCTTTACCAACGTCTCCCTCATGGTCCGCAGCGAGCTCCAGGTTTTCTCTTCGACCCTAATCGAAACCTTCGGGGGTCGCGCAATTACAGCCGCGTCCTCACTTTCCTGGATTTAGCTAAGCTGAACGATTGTGGTCTATTCCCGGTTATCGACTCTATGAGAGGAGTAATTTTAAGTGCGCATTAGTCAACTGGTAATATACCTTAAAAAAATCAACTAGTTGCTCATATTCAAACCCTTATCCACCTTATTTGGGTAGGGTATCTGGGTATGGTAATTTTGTTTTATCCCACACAAATGGGTAGAGGAGGGCATGGGGAGTGGATTACCCCTGGATGTCTTTAGTTCGATTAATCACCTATCAGTAGAAATTGGTGGATCAGATAATGCAAAGATCATTTTAGTTTTGGGTTTCTAATGTGGGATCCTAATGTTGGTCTTACTGCAGTAATCTGCACAAAGTACCCAGTGCTATATTGAATCATCTGCTACAAATTTTATTTAATTTCGCTAAAATTTTAAAGTGTGAACATGACATTTTTAATTCTAGGGCCCAGCTTTGACATGGGGTCCAAATATATATCTAGCCACACTAAGTTGCACAAAGTAGTCATCCATTTTAACGAGTCATCTCCAACTAATTTCAGTCAGTTTTGTGAAAAAAATCAGTCTGGTAATGCTCGGTGATGATTTTGGTAAGGCAACGCGGCAAATCACGCCGTAACCCTAGCGCAGATCACTTCCCTATTGTCCTGCTTTACTGGTGGCCAGCAGCTTTAAAATTCATAGTAGTTAGGAAGATTGTTCTAGCCGGATGTTTGCTGAATTTGATACATTCAGTTTTTTTTCTTTTCATTTGCTGTGCTCCCATGTGTGCTAACCCTTTAGGTTCAAATGATGGGTGGCAGTGGTAGCTGTGTGCCTCCAAACCTCACAAACATCTCTTGCAAACGAAAGTATCTACAGTTTAGGTGTTAAAAGATGCTATGCTATTTGCAGTGCTGGTGTATCGAAATGAATTCACGGTGAATGAATTTCTTTGGAAAGGTAGTTGTAGCAGCTAGTTGTGACCCCTGATTTCTGAGTAGTTTCTAGTATTGCTTCATATTTACAGACTAAGAAGAAGAATGGCTCAATTATCTTACCCCCATTTTTTTTCGGGACTGAATTCTTTAATTATCCTAGGCGCTTGGATTATAGGGAAGCATAGGAGAATGTTTGCGTCTTTGAGGGTGCTTCTCTAAGGGAATTCAAAGATGAGCATAGCCTCTGGTGCATGGCCGGAGCTAAGAAACTACAAGGTCTAGAGCTTAGTGCTAGAGTTTAATGTGGTGGTCGAGTCCTTTTTTTCTGTATTCAAGGTGATCTTGTAATTTATTTTAGAGTTAAATGCACCAGAGGTCTATTAACTTGTGAGGAGGTTTCGGTTAGGTCCATCAACTTCCAAAGTGGATTTTTGGGTCCATAAACTTTGTACGCTGAATCACTTAGGTCCATACCTCTCCACGTTGTCTTCTCGTGCTGATGTGGCATGATGCCGTGGCCATGCGAGCGTGCAGGTGGCTTCCTCCGGCGGCGCTTCATCCCCTCCTCCATGGCCGACCGGCGGCGCAACTCCAACAGCTTTCCTCCGGCGCCCACATGCTTTCGCCGCCTGCACCGCTACCTGCTATTCTTTGCTTGTCATTGTCGACGATGCCGCCTGAACGACGACCACCGACGATGACTGCCTCGCTTTCATTGCGGTTGCTTCGTTGTTGCTGCTCATTGCCGTCGTCGTCGACAAGTCGCGCCAAGCCACACTTGGCCTCGCTTCGAGGCTTTCTTCAAGACGTCGTCGTCTGTCATCGATCGTATTCATACGTGGCGGCGACGATATATCGATGGCGCCGACGACGATGACCGTGTCGCCATCCGGCGAGATCAGCGAGGCCGCTTAGCGATGGCGGGCACGTGCGTTCGGCGAGCGTGCCGTGCCACACGCACTCGCTGGCCGGCGAGCGTGGGCGACCAGCTCCTGGCGCTGCGGTCATGGGCGTCCAAAGCCGAGGCCGTCGCCGCCGACCACGAGCACAAACCCGCCCCACCAGGGGCGCCTCGGCACGAGATGGACGCCTTCTTCCACGCCACCGTGTTGGAGCTGTTCGCCAGGGCCAGCGAGACGAGCCTCGGCCTCGGCCCCGTCCACGTCGGCGTGTTGGTCGTCAACGTCCAACGTTCCACCCGGCGTCGTCGCTCGCGTCCCGGATCGTCGCAGCGCGCGCGGCATCGCGCGACGGCGTCGCGCCTACAACCTCTCCGGATGGGATGCGCCGCCATGCTCGTCGCCGTGGACCTTGCCCGGAGCACCATGCACGCGGTCCCCGGTCCCGATCCCTCATGGCGCCTGACAACTGGCGCTGTCGTCTCCTCGGAGTGCATCACGCCCAAGCGCTACGCTGGCGCGACAGTCGATGATGTCTTTGAGCCACATCGCCTCTTCAGCTGGCGGCTCGCCGCGCATCCTCCCCCGTCGTGGAGCTTCGCCCGCTTCCACAATTTGCTCATTGTCATTGCCGTCCTTTAGCTTGCGATGATGGGCCAGTGCGGGCAGCCAAACCTCTCTGCTCTAACATTGCGGTGCCGGTGTCTGCTGCGCCAAGCGCTTCCATAGCAGGTCTTGGCCGTGGCCGTATTATTTCTGCCACGAAAGGTAGCCGCCGCGAGCTCCTCTCTAGCGAAGCGCCAAGAGCCATCCTCACCGGCGCGAAGCTCCATCCCCGACGCAAGCGCCGCCCGACGAGTTCAGCCCTTGGCGAGCCCCGTCGTAAAGATCTTTGCGGCACCAGCTTCATGGCCGACATGTGCCTTTGTTCGTTCGGGTGCCCCAGGTCGCGGAGCTCTTGGGCGATCGCGTCGGCTCGGCGGACAGCCACCTCTCGGGGCGGAACTCGAGGCAACGCATGTTCGTAGCCACCGACGCACGCGCAGCGTCTGCGGCGCTAGCTAGCAGCCGTGGCGGCCGGCCGCGCGTCCCGAGGTGCTTCAGACGCCGCGTCCCTGGTGCCGTCCTTCACGTCGGCGGCGAAAAGCGAGCATGGCTCCACCGACGCCGGCCTAACACATGCCACGGCGCCCTCTCACGTAGTCCGGTCCGGCAAAGATCGGCAGCCTGTGGTCGCAACTCAAACCCGGCCGAGTGGGCGACGTAGCCCAACGCCGAGCATCCGGTTGCCCATGCCCTGGATGGGGAACCACACCACGTACCTGCATTCGGCGCGGTCGCCGTTGCGGCTGGACGTGAGCAGCGCCATGGCTCATGCCCTCGCACACCTCCAGCTCCTGGAGCAGCGCCATCGATATCGTCGTCGTCACGTACGAATACGATCGATCTGTACGTACATGCGTACGTCTTGAAGAAGCCCATGAGCGAGGCCAAGTGTGGCACTAGCCGTAGCTCGTCGGCGACGGCGGCGAGCAGCAACAGCAAGCAGCTGCAGCGGGGCGGGTCGTCGTCGTCATGGTCGGGCGGGTCGTCGTTCAGGGCCGGCATCGTCGACGGCGGCGAGCAGCAACAGCAAGCAGCTGCAGCGGGGCGGCAAAGCATAGGGGCGGCGGAGGAAGCTGTTGGAGTTGCGCCGGCGGCTGGCTATGGAGGAGGGGACGAAGCGCCGCCGGAGGAAGCCACCTGCATGGCCACGGCATCATGCCACATCAGCACGAGAAGCCAACGTGGAGAGATATATACCTAAGTGATACGGCGTACAAAGTTTATGAACCCAAAAAGCTACTTTGGAAGTTGATGGACCTAATCGAAACCTTCTCACAGGTTAATGGACCTCTGGTGCATTTAACTCTTTATTTTAACCACCTCTCATATTTGGTCCCCGTAGGAGATGTGTGTGATGTATGGGGACCTTTTCTTTCTCTCTAATACAAAGAAGCGCAGCTCTCCTGCGTTTTTGAAAAAAAAAAATCTTACCCCCATTATTTGCTGGAAACTGACCAGAAAAGGATACCAGGTTGGGTGTGGTGAGTACGAGTATGGATTTGGGATTTGGGAACCTAGGACATGTGGTCCACACCCGACTTTTATAGGCTGAAATTGCAACAGATCCTTACATTGACCTAGCTCACTAGTTACAACTTTAGTAGTACTTTACATAACAGGAGGCTAATCATTTCCCTTGACATGGCAAGGAACGGCTAATAACTGTGTGACTAGCTCAGCGGCTATGATAGATTGTCACCATTCACTAAACATTAATTTTCTTTTCATGGACATGCTGGATCAAAAGTTCAAAACAACAAAAACGAATGTACAGTATTATTGGAATGGAGGCTAACTTGGTATCATGGTGTGTTATGTTATTGGCAAGAGTACTGGTCTATATATGACACTTCCTTTTGTGGCTACCGAGTAAATTTTCAAATTTGCCAATAAACTTTCACTCTGTCCTTTTGAGCAATAAACAATTATAATTAACCCTAAACAATTTAGGCTTGTGATAAAAGAACACTCTGACTAGTTAGGGTAAAAATAACTTTAAAAAAGAATATAGTCGTTAAAATTTAATAGAACTAACATAGTAACATCCCCCCAAACCCCCAAATCTGGCCCTTGAAATGAAAAACAATTTGTTTTCCTATGTGGTATGAAAGTTGAACCCTTATTAATGTTCCTCGGTAAGGCTATATAAGTAGCATGTACTCCCTCCATACCAAATTATAGTTCACTTGAGCTTTGTTCTAAGTCAAACTTTAGTTCTCCATGAAATATGTCTTGCTAGTGCATTGATTTGAACTTGTAGATGTCAATATATTTTCTAAAAAACTAGTCAAAGTTAGAGATGCGTTGCTTAGGACAAAGCTATTGCGAACTATAATTCGGAATACAGAGAGTATTGGTTATGTTGTAAGCTGACATGTGCGGTAACAAGCAACTTTCAATTAAATTTAATTTATTGACCAGGACTTGAGTGTCTGTCATTGTTGTCATTGCTTTCAGGGGACTAACAATCAGCTGGCTCTGCTTGAGAAGATGAATGACCGCGTAGCGCGGGAGTACAGCAACTATGGTGACATTGCCGCTGGTCTGCGAGTCTTTGTAGAGCAGCTGAACGAGAAAAACCGAGGCTTCGACGATTACGTGTCGCAGATCGATGCGATAGATCAACAGGTGACTGAGTTTGAGGCAGTGGTGTCCATGCTCGACAAGCGCGTTGCCCTCTTGGAAAAGAAAGTAAAATCGGCCTATCACATTTCTGCTACCCAATGATTTCCCATCCACAGACCACTACTACGCAGTTTCTTTTGCCGACACTTGAGTCGAGCTTATCCAAGAAACATATTATATTCTGGATCAATGAGGAGACAGCGCTGTAGGTGCTGCTAAGTTTCCACCATTGCAATGATGCAATCAGATTCCAAGTTGTGCTGGAGTAACTTTCAGACAGATTAGCCAGCAGTTGTGATTTTGTCCCTCACAGTAGTAGTACTGTATTTGGTAGTAGTAGGTATTAGTGCCAGGAAATTGATACATGAGTGCCGGATTGTACGGGGCCTAATCATTGCCTACTGAGGCACAAGAAACCTGTCCCTGTTGTGTATAGTAATTTCTGGATCAATGGGCGAACTGCATCTTGCAGTGTACGCGCATGCTTCCAAGATTCCTGCAGATTTTCGGTCCACGAAATTGGCTGCAGGAGACTGGTCAATGACATGTGGAGGCTCTGGAGCTGAATCCTCCAGTACCAAAAAATTCTTGAGCTGGATGATTTCACATGCAGATGCAGCTTGCCGTTGTGCTGCCTGAGCTCTTCTACTACGTGGAGCTGAACTACACTTCCTTTTTTTGTTTCAGCGGAATTTGATCGTTCGGATGCCTTTTCAAACTGCATGATTTTTGAGCAAAATCTGGCCGTCTTTGCTTCGATGGGATCAACGCCTCAGTGGAGCACGGCACAGGCAGATTTGACCTCCGTTTGTATTGCACCGGGAAACCCGTCGACTTGACCTCGTGCTCACTGCCCAGACGTCACAAGATGCGAAAGGGGATTTTTAAATATTCGAGCAGAACAGGTTTCCTTGAGAATGCAGTGGACCATTCTTGGAACAGCGGCACTTGCCCTCGCCACAAGTCAAATTAAATTATTAGTCAACAAGAGGACAGCGATTGGTTTGGTTTAGCCTAATGTAACGTGACAGCTCCATCGGCGGTTGCCACGCTGGGTATCAGCCTTTCGGTTGGCTGGTTCGTATCATTGCTGGTTCGTTTACGTGAGAGAGAAATACTGTTGGTTGGTTTAGATAAATAGTGTTTTTGTGAGGGGGCTGGCCAGCCCAGCCCCAACCGAACGAGCCGTATATCATCAGATCCTGCACCCGTAGACACTGTGCGGTGGGGCCAGGCCCTCTGTTAGAGGGTGCAGGCAGCAGTGACAGTGAGCGGGCGATGGGAGAGCACCTGTCAGTCCAAAATAATAACAGTGAGCCGAGGCCAGCATGTAACTGTCTGTATCTAGCTAATAGTGTTTTCCTCTCACACTAGCCAGCAGTACTTTCAATTGATGGCTTATAAACCAATTCAGCCGAACAGGCTGCATATGGCTGGCCTCGGATGGTTTAAGCTTCCAGCTCGTCGCCGTCGAGCACAAGGCTGGTTTGGTTGCTGCAGCGCAGGCACCGGTCCCTGGACTTTTGGGATATTGTGTGATGGTGGTGTCGGCCTTTTGCTGATGCGTATGGTCACGTAGGGCCTGTTCGGCAGGACTGAAAAATATTGTTCCGGCTGATTGTTGTGAGAGAAAAATACTGTTCTGGCATGACGTGAACAGTGATTTCGTGAGAGCAAGAACCAGCCAGCCAGCCGGCTTAAAGCCAGCCGAACGGGCTCATAAATGGCTACTAAAACGCGAAAATGATTTAATTAACTCCCTTTTTCTTCTGATGGCAAAGAATTGGTTGTATATGCTGACGGTGGTATTAGTTTATGTGTTATATATAATATAGCGATTCATCATTTTTAATGGGCTTTTGCAAGCATCGATCCTTTGGAATGTTTTTTTTTTCTGATTTCACTGTGTACGTAAACGCCAAAGACTTTGGTATGGCATATGGAATGCAAGAAAATAGGAATAGATTAAACGAAAGGATTGTTAAATTAAAAAAAACACAGCAATAGATCAGTGTTTAATTTCATCATTCAAGCCACCGCGTGTTATCTTAGCTAGAGATTAGAGATCCCACGAATTTAAAACGAATCTGTTGTACTACATAATCATTTAGAAAGATTGCAAAAAACAATTATTGACGCATATGTTCCAAGTAAATAGAAATAGAAAAAATCAACATCAAAATACAATGTACAACTAACATGAGAAGTGGCCATAAACCTAAGAGCTTGATGTACGCCAAAAACATGCAATGCTCCTACATCTATTTAAATAAAGTATTTTCATAATAGCGGTGCTCTATACATGTGATTGTATGTGTTAACATGTAGCATTGTACTATATACATAGATTTGACAGCCTAACCACCCCGCAAGTCGTGTCTCGCCAATTGCCCAAATTTCATCACAATACTATCCAAATATAGATCGGAGACTTATATCAAGTAACCAATACTATCAAAATATATAGTACTCCCATCAATTTTCTAATAACACAACACATATGCGCCAAAATAATGGTATTTGCACATTGTTCCATTTTTCTCTCTCTTTTTTTCCAAACTGTTCAACCGAGGTTGTTGGAGACCTGTTCTGCTTCAAACAACTGCCATGCCTCACCGTGCCCCCCTGCCGTGCAAAAACCACCCAAATTATCATCACAATTCACACCCAGAATTGACAATTCCAAGTTTCCAACGTCGCAAGTGTAACACCCTAGGTGTTAGTTTTGCATAACTTGACTTGCATAGCATGATCATCAAGCATTCATATATATGCATTTACACTTGAAACATTCAATTGAAACATGTGCAACATTTCTTAGTATTTCATGTTTTCATATGAATATGCATATGATTATGAGTGTATACATGTGATTGGTTGTATGAGTCACAAAAACATGTTAGCAACACTTAGGTTAGCAAATGGAACATTGTTCATGAATGTCACCTTTCATGATCAAGCACTTAAGTAATGTTACATGTGTTGACCTGGATAGCCCTATGTGTGACCAATGCATGAAATGATTGGGTGACCTTGCAATTAGCTTAAACATGTTTAGTATGTCATCATGAACAACTTTGGTATTCATGACTAGGGATAATTTAGTCACCAAGTCATAGTTTAAGTGTATACTATCATTTAAATGTAGCATGTTTGACCAAGTTTGAACCATATGGTAGAGACCTTGCATGGATGTGGTCACTAAAGCAAAGTTGTAGTATTTGATAAGGGGAACAACTTTTATGTTTGGGTCATAAACTAGTTTAGCTCCTAACATACTTGAAATTGACTCACAAAATCAACTTTGCACTGTTTTATACACTTAGGCAATTTTGCTAGGTCAGTTTAACTGACAGTGTCGATGCAGCCAGTTTTGAGTTGACTTTACTCTCTGTTCATTGCGAATTAGACTTTGATTTCTAAAGGAGTATTGTAGGTGGTATATAGGGTTACGATTGTTGTTAATACTGTTTGCGCTATGGAGTTACGGATTTGGAGTTTGAGCGTCATAGAAACGGGCTGTCAGTCGCAATCGCAGGGCTCTGATGGCGGCCGAGCTCACGCCGCGGTGGCCGACAGAGCCCAGGCAGCGTGCGCCATCTGGCGGTAGTACGCCGGCGCTGCCCCCACAATTCAGGCCGTCACGGGCACGTCGACGCCATGCACCCTCCCTGCCTCCTTATCTGCCTTCGTCCACGCCCGGTAGCTTCATTCAAGCACACGAGAGCCAGCGCCGCGCCTTCGCCATTGCTGCTGAGCCAAACGCCGCCGCGCAGCTCCTTCTCCAGCCAACCGTTGCGCCATTGCTTGCAACCGTAGGCGCGCCGTGCTTCGACCTACCTCCTTGACCCCTTCGTAGTCGCATTTGAGCCAAGGTGAGGGCCCATTGGCCGTTTCCATCGCCGCCGCCATCATTGGCGCCTCGCCGAAGCGCGAGCTCGCCGTGGCCGCACCGCCTCCGACCGCCATTAGCCGTAATGGTTGGTGCGCTAGAACCGCCGTCGTGGGTAGCAGCTCGGAGTATCCCTAGATAGAATCCTCGCGGTCACCGCCGGCGTATCACCGTAGACCATGTCCGCCGCACCGCCATGGCCGCCGCCGTCGTCGTTAGCGCCGGCGAGAGGCCCAACCAAGTAGCTCAACCGGTGTGCTAGGTCACGAGGGTCACAGTAGTAGAGGTGCCGTCGCCGGTGAAGCTCGCCGTCGGTGGACTTTGGCAGCGCAGCGTGGAGCAGCGCCGCCTGCTCTGTTCTTGTCTCGTTGACATGTGGGGTCAACTGTTTGCGGGTCCCACCGGTCAGCGATAGTAGTAGAGAAGGATAGTTCATTTTGATTCTAGATTTCATGTGTTTTATGATTTTTAGATCTCCAGTTGTATAGCTTCAAAAATTGTGAAATAAATTTGGTAGTGTTACTTAGGAAGTGTAGTATTTAATAAAAATATGATCTTGACACTTATAGTAGAAATTTTGGCATATTTAAATAGGAATTTGAAATGTGTTTTGAATACATGCAAACTTGTTTATTTTATATCTAGAGTTCCTGTGCTCCAAAAATTATGAAATTTTTATGGTAATCTATTCTTGACATGTATGAGCTCTGGTAAAAATTTAAGAGTTAGTTCATGAATAGATTTTTAGTTATAGATTTTCATTATATGATTAGGTGATCCTTGTGTAAATTGTTATAAATTATTTATGAATCCAATGCTCATGAAATTTATTTGAGGTTGTCCTAATACCTTATGGATGCCAAGAAAAATATAAAATCTGTCGCTTGACACTTTTCACTAGAGTTTCCTATTTATGTTATTTTAAGTCTTTATGCCTTGTTATTTTTGCATAGTATGTTTTACTTGGTAAAATGGCATGAAACTTTTAAAATAGTCTATTGGTAGCACTAGTAAGCCACTGTAAATTTCTGAGAATTTATTATGCACATTGGGTATACATTTATTAATTAACCTAAGTATCTAAATAAAATAATAAAGGTATTTAAATAAATAGTTTGGGCTTCACCATTATGTGTTCTTGAATGTTTTTGGTATGCTTGAACTGTTGGTAGGCTTTGTGTTATAAAAATTTGAATACTTATATGAAGTAGAAGTATTGTTGCTTCCTAAGGCGAATTGAATAGTTTCCGGACAGATTCTATAGTTTGATAAGTTGCATGATAAAAATGTTGTTTGCTGTAAAAATGGTTAATAACAAAGTTGTAGATAACTTCATCATATGTCTTGTGTTAAAATTTCAGGACCATAGGTCAAACGGTTTAGGAATTACAGCTGTTTAAAGTTAGCATTTTCGAATTGCTTGCTCTCTGAAATTTCTGGACAGCGCTGGATTGATTGTCTGTTTTGGTTAAGATAAAGTGTGAATTAGCTTTTAGTGATTAAATAAGAGTTGTAGACAATTTTATAATATTTCCAGAAAGTCTAATATCACAGCATTTGGATAAGTAGAACTTCAGTTATGAGTAAAACAAGCAGCTATTGTTTTGTGTGTAGTAAATGAATTGTAAATGTGTTTGATTAAGTAATCAAGAAGAGATATGCACATACTCGGTAAAATATGATGCATTTGTTAACACCATGCTGTTAAGAATACTTATACGAATGCATTCATCATGTGTCATCATTTTATACTTGTACGCATGTATGCATTCGCAATACCTTATGCCATATTCATGCATATAGGATCGACAGATGAGATAACGTTGCTGGAATTCAACGAAGGAGAGGAAGGAGATCAGCAGGAGAATCCTCAAGCCGCAGCTCCCGAAGACGAGGAGCAGACCCCAGAAGAGCTTTCGGAGTGCCCTGATCACCGCCCCACTTCCTTTCTGCGAGGCAAGCCCTGGAGCATTTTAAGTCTCCCAGTATTTTACAAATGATTACTTAAGTACTTATGATTGATGTATTAGGTTATAAGAGTTGAATGGAAACACTTGATGCATGGAACTACCTTGTCCAGATATATACACCTTTCACCCTGTATAGGTCCAGGATCGAATATATGCTTAACCATGCTTAGACCGATAGAAGTCGGGTGATTTCCTGTCACCTGCGAGATATAGGTGGATCCAAAGCACGATTGACTATATTTGCTATCGTAGAAAAGAACCATGGGTTAAAAAGTAAATCGAGGTCGGACGGAGTCTATGGTAGGATGACTCATGTGATTCCGTCTGTGCCGATTAAGGACCGTACCATTGTTGGACTTTCTGACAAGATTGAACGCATGCCTATCACTTAGCTGGCCAGATAACTCGTTCCGACCGTGAAGCCGAGTAGCTCAACTCAGGCTGGGCCCCGTTCTGTTGTGCGCTCCTTGCGGGGGGCGATCAGACCGAGCCCAAGGGCAGGCTAGGCCTGAACGTCCTGGCATCTGGTGTCCCAGATTGTGCGACGCGGTACGGACCCGCGAAATGTGTACCTGAGTTGTACCAAAGGTGACCCGACGCGACCCCGACGGGGGAAGTGTGGGTTTGTGTTAGGAATAAATTCCCAGCTGGTTGAAATCGATTCGAATCGCCGTCTCTCCCGGATAGTGAGAAACTTGGCTAGCTCCAGCATCGTAGTAATTGTATTATGGAACATGATGGTTCGAACGAATATAAAATTACAATACCTGCTATGGTTACTATTGCATGCTTTTAAAATGATATACCACATGTTTGGCACAGGATAGTTGCTAATCTAAAAATGGATAGTTATAATTAACCTGATATTAGAACCATAATTGTATAACTAAGTTAATCGCTTTTATGCAAAATGTTGTCAAGCTATCCCCACTTATACAGTCTTGCATAATCCTTAGAGTCGAATTATTTCTGATTTATGACGGGTAAATCTAGCTGAATACCTTCTTGTACTTAGGGTTTTATTTCCCATTGTTGTAGATGGCACTGTGTATCATGGTTATTGCAAGTGTTGCTTCTATCCCACCGTGGATGAGGAGTAAGCCTTGGACAGGCTTCTTATTAATCCTTCTACATGGTTTTGTAGACCGTGATCGTATTTTGGCATTGTATTAAACTATGTTGGAAACTTTACTTTCAAACTTAATTTGCTTTCGCTTTTATCTATCAACTCGGTTTGTAATAACTGTGTTTCATACTCTGATGATGAAAATATATCTATGAACTTTATATAATATGTGACATGTATGTTGAATCATGTACGATCTTGGTTGTTGTCAATCGTTTATCGAGACCCGTCGTGGTACTCGACAGACTACCCGGTTTATATGGGCTCAAGTATGATAGTGCGACCGCTTGCGGGCCACCATTGTACTTGTGTTCTTATAAATTGGTCGGTTCTGCGACAGCAGGCTCGGGACATTTAACTTTTTGCCATCCTTACGGATGACACTCCTTCGTTTGTCATTTTTACATGGACACCTACACACTTACCATCGCAAACAGTAACACTCCTAATTTTTTTTTTGCTATTTTTGCTGATGTGGCATGCCACGCAGTTAGCCAGCATAGCAGCGCCTCTCCTCCCGATGCTGCTTCTCTCTCCCTCCACTCGCTGACATGTGGGACCCACTAGTCAGGTTCATCTTCAACCTCTGGCCACCGGAGAAGGCTACAAGTGCGGGGATGGGTCACCTCCACGGCGACGGGGTAGGCTGCTGCTGCGAGCTCTACGACGCTCCCGTGGCCATGCACTGCGCGTCGGACGCGGCCTTGCGCCGCCAGCGACGTCAAGGTGCACGGCGCCAACTCCCTTGCGTCGCGGCACCACCACAGTGATCGCACGTGCCTCCTGCTCGTGGTCGCGGGATCGCCGGCACCGGCGCTGGATGAGGACGGGTACGAGTCAGCGGCAACCTCCTGCGTGCCCACGACCGACTCGGCGACGTCCGCAGCGAAGGCGCGGGGCCCGCGCGTCGGCCGGGAGTGGGATCCCGAGCCCGGGCACGCGCACCGAGGCGGTGCTCGAGGGGTGGGCCAAGCGGACGGGCCTCGCGTCGGGGTCGAAGGCTCGCTGGCGCTCCGCGCGGGTGCTCCTGGCCTGCGCCCACGACCTCGCCTCCACGCGCCGCCATCTTTGCCATGCATTTATGGCGGAGGTGGCGGCGGCGCGTGGGATCGACGGCGGGAGCGGGGCGAGGCGGTAGGATCCACGACCTGGCCTAAGCGTCTTGCGCCGTGCGTGCAAGCAGCCTTCGGGTATGTGGCCGTCATGGCCACCAGAAATAGCGCTCACAGGAACATGATCCCCTCCCCCACGCATGCTCGCCCCTTCTCCGGTGGCCAGAGGTTGAAGATGAACTTGACTGGTAGGGCCCACATGTCAGCGAGTGGAGGGAGAGAGAAGCAGAGGCAGCGGGAGGAGAGGCGCTGGCACGCTGGCTGACTGTGTGGCATACCACGTTAGAAAAAATAGTAAAAAATTAAAAAGATTACTGTTTGTGATGGATGTCCGTATAAAAATGACAAACGAACCAGTGTTATCCGTAAGTACGAAAAAAAAAAGTTACACCGCAGACTGCACAGCCCTCCTCTCTTCTCTCTCCTTCCCCACACTCTTTCCGCGACGCCAAAGGAAACTGAAAGCCATCGACGCGCTCCGCCCACCCAGCCACCCTCCCCTTCCCCTTCCCCGCGCCCTCCTCACCTCCGCCTCCCAGCCCAGCCGCAAACCCTAACCCTAGATGGGCGCTGTCACCTCGACGGTCGCCGCGCGCTTCGCCTTCTTCCCGCCGAGCCCCCCGTCGTACGGTGTGGAGCAGCCGCAACAGCCGCCGCCGCCGCCGGTGGCCCCTGCCGCCCCCGAGCCGGCGGCGGCGGTGAAGGAGGGGGAGGAGAAGGGAGTTGGCGGAGGAGGAGGCGCGGTGGTGGAGCTCACGGGCGTCCCGCGGAGGGGCAACGTGGAGGCGCGGCGGCTGCGGACGAAGCGGGGCACGGAGGTGGTCGCGATGCACGTGCGCCAGGCGGGGGCCAAGCTCACGCTGCTCTACTCCCACGGCAACGCCGCCGACCTCGGCCAGATGTACGAGCTCTTCGTCGAGCTCAGCGCCCACCTCAACGTCAACCTCATGGGGTACGCGTACACGCCCAGCCCCGTTCCCCACTTCCACACGCGCTCTCTCCCCGATTGAGTTGCATTGGCTCAGATTGCGATGCGATTCGATGCTCCCCCTCGTTGCAATTCTCTGCCGTTGGGACCACCGTGGGTTTGCAGTGTATATCCTTGGATCTTCCTGATCGTGTGTCCCTGGATCGGAGCTACTGCTGCAATCTTATCTCGACTCTCGAGTTAGAATGCCGCTCGTGTTCATTTGAATGAAATGTTGGGATACTGGGGCGGATCACTGGGGTTGCTGCCTCCTACCTTCGATGACGGATGCAACCTGACCAATTACTATTGACTTGAGGCATTCATGATCCCAGTATGAAGCTGTACGAATGCTGGAATAGTGCTTGATGCTGCTTGGTTTGCTTGCAATAGTTCACCTTTTTTTTTCTTGGCTTTGAAATCCTATGTTTGACACTGTTACGTTAGCTGATTTGTGGTTGTCGTCATTTTGATTTTTCTGTGAGGCTGTTTCATTTTATGATTGGAATAAACCTGGCCATGTCTGTTTGTGGCGATTGCTCTCCAGTCTATGTAATTTACTTAATAATATTAGATAGCACAAATAACATTTAGATTTTTAGTTCCTAATTGCTATAGGTTATTTTGTGACTGACTTGACTCTATGTGAGGTGGCATGGAGCCTGGTTTTTGTTTGTTTGCATATATTTTGATCGTTAGATGTTACTACATTTCCTGGTTTAATTGGAACTGTTCACCAATGGAGTTTGGTACAAACAAATTTTTTTTTTTTTGGGTAGCAGTGCGCTGAAATAGCACGTGCTTGCAGGAGCATGAAATTGATACATACATTCATGCAGTTTGTCTGTTTGGTAGCGCTTGTAAAGTTCTAATACTGAAATTGCTGGTCAAAAGTTTCAGTTGAGGAATAATTTTGCAAATCTTTTGTTATTCACTATCTGAGGAAGTGTTCAAACGGTTAAATTAATTACTGGCAGTTGGTAATTCTACATAAGCGGAAGTTAGGAAACACAAATCTTAGTATTATTTCTATTTAAATAGAAATGGTTTATCTTTCTTGCTTGACCATTCTGGCACTTTATTTTGAGCACACTTCCGTTAAAGATTCTGGGGTTAGCCCATTTGTTTCGCTCTCCCTGTTTGGTTTGGTGAAATAGCTCAGGAAATGAGGAATCTTTGTTTTTAAATTTCCATTCGACTCTACTTTAAGGTCCATGTTTCAGGGGAAAATAAAGCTGTTAAAGCAATTCTTGGTCCAATGTGCCTGATGATTGGTGGTCTGGTGGTTGATTGTCGATTTGAGAATCATTGATTGATTCAGTGAATCTAGCAGCTGTAGCCAATTTAAAATTCTGTGGTTAGAAAGAATTGCCTGTTGGTTTGTCCTCTGCTCCTTTTCTTTAAGCCAAGCTTTTTCTTGCTTTTGTTATGTTGTTTGCTAATAATATAATTGACATTCCTTTCATCTTTTTTCTTATTGCTCTGTCCTTTGAACCCACTTTTTGTCCTCTTTATAGCCATGCATTTTGCCATGTACCATCATGCTGCGTGGTTACTTTAACTAGTTGATTGTGTTTCGTTGAGTAATGTAACTTCAACATCACGGAGGACTGCTTCTGACATGGTCCATAGGGCCTTCGTGGCTACCTTGGGACCTCTGTTATACTTAAATTTCTTGCATGATTACTAGATACCATTCATAACTCAGGCATCAGTGTTCATTACCAGTGATTACTGATACATGTTCCTAGAATGGAACTTAGCAAACTGAAATGTCTTTGCATTAACCGAGATGCGCTATCAGGTATCAGCTGACTTTCATTTTTCTTATCAAATGAAAAAAAGATAAATATGAGTCGTGAACAGCTGAAAGTGACTCAGAGAAGTAGCTTAAACATTTTTTTCACAAAAGAGCTGAGTAAAATTATTTTATATCCATGAATAACCACATTAAGGGTCAAGGTTGTCTTATAACGAAACATGTTCATGCTCATTAGCCTATCCATTAGCTGCTGGATAATACTATAGGTGTTCATAACTTCAAAGTGATTGTGTGATCCATATGTTGCCAATTTCACATGGTTGAGTGTCACAACTGCACTTTATTTTTTCTTGGATATTGGCAGTTTGTGTTTAGGAGGTTTCATAATCCAAAAAATAAGAGTATTGTCAGATGAAACCATTTTCAAAGGTCCTTATGTTTTGGAAACCGCATGGTGAACCCCTCAGCCCCCTCCCGCCGCACCCCTTTTATCCTAATTGGGTGAAATATTAATACCTTGTCTACCATTACTTTGCAGCTATGACTATTCTGGTTATGGGCAATCCACTGGGGAGGTACACACCTTTATTTGTTGGTAACTTCTAACTTTTTTCTTAATATCATTAATGCTCATGATGCTAACCCTTTATCTTTATCTGATACTGCAGCCTAGTGAACAAAACACTTATGCTGACATAGAAGCTGTATACAGATGCCTCATAGAAACCTATGGAGCTGCTGAGGATAATATCATTCTTTATGGCCAATCAGTGGGCAGTGGTCCTACTTTGGATTTAGCATCCCGATTAACTCGTTTGAGAGCAGTTGTTCTACATAGCCCAATTTTGTCTGGCTTAAGAGTGATGTATCCTGTAAAACATACATACTGGTTTGACATATACAAGGTAATTAATATACCGATGTTCGTGATCTTATTAATTGCTTAACCACATCTAAATTTGCCTTGTATTCGCAGAACATCGACAAAATTCCATTAGTCAGGTGTCCCGTGCTAGTGATACATGTGAGTATTCTTCATTTCTATAGCAAACCTTATGAGGACATGCATGTTTTCGCTCTTTCTTGAATTTTTCATTAGCATATGCATGTGGATTTTTTTGTTGCTTTAATGCGCTTTAATGTTACATCTGTGAACTTGTAGATAAGCGTTATAGCATTTAGGCTTCTTAATGGAGGGAATGCCCATACACATCCATTATTTGAAATGTTTGTTGTGGTTAATTTTATGGGAAGCCATGGACTCCAGTCCTACCTGGGGGTTGTTTTAACGAGGGGATAGCTCCAGGAATTTTTAGGAAGGATTTGACCCAAATTCGCTGTCCAAACAGGCCCCTGTTTACACAAACCTACATTGTCTAGTTTAGGCCTTGGGTATTCGTTTTAAGACCTGTTATTTTTTCACCAGAACGTGTTACATTTTAGTTTCTGAAAAAGCGTCATCAGTGTTAACTACATGATACACATTATTGTTTATGACGTCTACAGTTGTATCAAACTATCCAATTGGGGCTTTACCAAGTGTAATTGACTTATTATTGATTGTTGCTTACTTTTGGCAATAGATCATGTTAGTTGAGTTTTGATTAACCTGCTGGTGAAAAAATCCTCATGCGAGCACTATACGTAGGGCTATCAAAGCTATTGTTTCTGGCAGGAAGAGTTAATTACGTAGGCATCATCAAAGCTATAGTTTCTGGCAGGAAGACTTAATTAGATGGTAAAAGTTTTCTAGGTTTGGTGACTAGAAAGATGAATCACAATTGAGTGCTAGTGTTTTATGGAAACATGGGGCAATTAGTTTGTTACTAGGATCAACTTTGTCATGATTCATACTACAATTTCGTACTATACGTGTAGTCATCTTTGGAAAAAGTTGCTAAAGTTTTCTCCAGATGTCCAGCCTGTTCATTCTAGTCAAGATGCAGAAGCAGCATGCACATGCTCGTGATTTTAATATGATATCTTCTCTCAGGGTACAGCCGATGAGGTTGTTGACTGTTCCCACGGGCGGTCACTGTGGGAACTTGCTGAGGTGAAGTACGAGCCGCTGTGGATCAAAGGCGGGAACCACTGTAACCTAGAACTGTACCCGGAGTACATCAAACATCTGAAGAAGTTTGTTGGAGCCATAGAGAGATCGCCACCTCCGCCTCCGAGCGACGAGTCCACGGAGAGCTCAGGCCCGTCGGGCCGCAGCCCGACGGAGCCCGAATGTTCAGCGGAGGACTCGAGGAAGAGCACGGACTGCAGGGACAAAACACGGCCAAGCATAGATCAGAGACGCAGCACGGACCGGCGGGAGAAGCCGAGGGGCAGCACGGATAGGAGGGACAAGACGCGGAAGAGCGTGGACCATCCTGACAAGCCGCGGGCGAGCGTCGATCAGTCGGATCGGCCGAGGAAAAGCATCGACCGGTACTGTTTTACCCTTACCAACCTGGCACATGTTTTCCGATCATCAGTAGGATGCATTGTATTATATATATTTGCACACGATCGCATGTAAAGGTTTTGCAGATGAAATGGCGTGTGTTTGTGACTTTGTGTACAAACAGGTTTGGAGGCATGATGAAGTCGGTGAGGCTGTGCAATATCGATTGCTTCAAAGTGACAGCAACCTCTGGGAGCTGAAGAAAAAGGAAAGCATGAATAGTAACAGGAAAGGTTAGTGTTGGGAGCCGTCTGTATGTATTCTTCTTTCCCTTTGTGTAACTTATTCAATTGGGTGATTGGTTTGGCTGTAGTAGGAGTTGTTTTTGTTTTCTTTTTTTTTCCCCTTCCTTCCTCATACAATACAATGGGGGCTGGCTGCCTCTGTGTTGTTTCCGTTGGGTTGGGTTGTTCTCTTTAACATGAAATGAAATAATAATGATTTTTGTTGATAAAGAGACGGCTCCTCTCCTCTCCTGCAAAAGATTGGCGATGCGTGAGGGTTTCTTTCAGTTCAATCCTTGCGAACTGCAGTGGCGGCACGTAGGCGAGAGGGATCTCTGCGGTGTGGTGGAGGTTGATGGTATTTTTGCAGGCCCGTGTTTGTGTTTTCACGACGTTTTATGGTGGGCGGGCGGACATGGACACCGCCGCAGGCCTCGAGCGCGGGGACCGACGACGAGGACGTGTGGGGAAACCGGAACCGGGCGGACTTTTGGATCGCCGCGCACGCCCTCGTGTCCCCCGAGCACCGCACGTTGACAGGAGGACCAACACCCGCAGTCGCGCACGCACGCACTCCTGTTCCTGGCGGGGCCCGGGTCCGGGTGGCCTGCGCGCCGGCCTCTCATCCGTGCGAGGTCGAGGACGCGGCGTGGCTGCGTTGCGGCGGTCCCGCTCCTATCCTGAGACTAGGACGTGGGAGCAGTGTGCAGTGGCCGGCCAGCAGCGTTGCCGGCCCGCTGCCTTCTCCCCCTTGCCGTTGCTCGTTGCTGTTGCTGTGTCGGTCCAGTCGTCGATTTTTTTTTTTTAGCTCTTTTTTTTTGAAAATTTTTCATAAATATATCTCTGGAGGTAATCTTACTCTTTAGCTCGATGTCATCGTTGCTGTCGCCGAGCTCTTTGGCTCTTGAGCTCGGCGCCGTGGTTATTGACGCCAAGCCTGTCTTACAAGCTATGCGCCACCGGCCAGCGTCTACGCGCGGACGGGATGCAGATGCTGGGACGTTGATGGCCAAGTGGCATGCATGTATATTAACCCAAACAGAGAAAAACAATCTGCCTGCATTTGTTTATTGGGTCAAGATGCTACTAGCAGTTGTAGTAGTAGTACAGGCACTGATAGAGACGTTCGTCGTGGTTGGTGTTGCATGTATAGCATATATCCCGCGCAGCAAACCGAGTCGGGGGATTCTGAATTCACCATACATACGCGTCTAGTTATATACTATACTACGCAAATGAGCAGCTAATTTTATTCACTCTGTCTATCCAACAACCATATGTTTTATATAGTTTCAACATATGATTTTTTTTTGCATCATAGAATTAAGATCCAACAGCCTTCACCCTCCTTCTACCTCCAGCCTTCTTCTATCTCCAGACAATCACAAATTATAAGATCTACATATCACAAGAAATAATTTTTTTTTATGGAAACATATATCACAGCAGAGAAGGAGGAGGAGAGGCTAGTGGAGCCGGATCCCTGGCGGACACCGGGCTTGCTGCCCATCTCCCCAGTCTCGTGCCTTTCCTAGAAGACGAGCACGCCTGTACCGGAGCTCTCCTCTCCAGGCAATGTCAAGTCGGCATTTACTCTGCCGCACCAACCAATTCGTTCCTACCGTCAGGCGCTCGCTCCTCGCTCAAAAAAAATTCATGTGTTTTTTTTTATAAAACACATGTACACTATATAGCATATTTCTGAATTTCATTTAAGCAAGGAAATAGCTGGCTCAGATATGCTGCATACAGAAAAGCCAGTATATATACTAGTATAATTAAACCAGCTAACGTCGTTGACAAGAAACTGGGAGTTTATATATATCAATCGCGAGTAATAATACAATCTGCAACTCTCAACGGTTTGTCAATGCGCAAGCGAACGTGAAGGACTGCAGCATGCAGGAGTCGTCGCGTGCCACTTGTTTTTCCTCACAGCGACGTAGATGGAATATTTATTCAAAGGAATGAAGGGATGATCAAGGGATTTGCATTGCGCGTGTTGTTGGAGCAACTTGGCCGCAAGAAATGATAAAAATAAAATAAAAAACACTAGTGCTCTCCCTCCTATCCGGCTGTCAGCACATGGCGATCTGACGCTTGGCGTCGCCTGAAACAGATTCAATTCAAGCCACCCCCGCTCGTCTCGACGGTTCATCACCGGCGTAACGTTGGAACTCATGCATGCAATGCAATAGGAGTACTACGAGCGGACCACCGGCATCATGGATGTCGATGCCGTTGTCAAATCAAAACCCCCGACGGCGGCTAGATGCATCTACTCCTATGCGTGCATGCATCGGTCCCTCGACAGGAACCGGGCACGGCAGGCAGGAAGCATTGCCGCGGCGCCCCGAGAGATTTGTTCAGTCTCTCGAGAGACGACAGATTTCAACTTGCCACCACTTGCGAACACACAAACACAAACACTTGCGTGCCCGTGTGTCAGCATCGCCAGGGGAGTGGGGCCTGATTCAGCCACCAGCCAGGAGGACAACATGGGACCTGAACGCCTCGCAGGCTCCTCTGACCAGACTGAACCACAACCAAGGAGAAGCGGACGGGTCCGGCGCGCCAGTGTGCGACTCGGTGGACATGAGTGGGCGTGAATCCTAGACTAGACACAGCTGCGCCTGTGTGGTTCACGCCGAGGCCAAGACCCTGTATACATACCAACAGAGAGAGACAGGGGGGAGATAGACATATCAGAACAAAAACTCAATATTAAGCTTCCTCCTTCCGTCATCTGGCGTGTTTCCCCTTGTTTCCTTTCTTCTTCTCCAATCCATCCCTTCTCTGATGTTAACATTTGATACCAGAGCCGTCGATTTTGGTAGTCCACCATGAATCCTTCCACCAAGCTCTTGCTCGACGAGCTCCGTAAGCTCTCCGTCGAGCAGAACGAGCTCCGTAAGCTCTTCGCCGAGTAGAACGCGTGGTTGGATCGGCGATTCGCCAACCACGCCGCTTCGGTCTCGACCATGCCCGCACCTTCCGCCGTTGCCTCGGTCGTCGCTCGCGCCTTCCGCCGTCGCCTCGGTCGCGCTCGCGCCTTCCGCCGCCGCTGCCTCGGTCGCGCTCGCGCCTTCTGCCGCCGCTGCCTCGGTCATGCCCGCGCCCGCACCTCCCACTGCTGCCTCCGCCTATGTTGCGCCGCGCACACCACGCTCTTCCACCCTTGGCGGGTCGTATGGTGCTGCACACCACCGCCACCACCACCACCGAAGCCTCCGATCCGATTCCACTACACCCGCCGAGCCCTGCAGAGTGAAACCATGAACCCCGACACGCAACTTCTGCTGAAGGAGATCCAGAAGCTCTCCGTCGAGCAGGCCACCATCTAGAAGCAACTCTCCGAGCAAAAGGACCTTCTCGAGCGCCGGTTCGTCGAGGCGGATGAGAGCCTGGACAAGCGCTTCCAGGCCGCCGACGCTGTGGTGGAACAAAGGATCATCGACTTCGAGCATCGCCAGGACGCCCGCCTCAGCTCCATCGAGAAGGCCGCGCCTGACCTCAATTCATGGCGCCAAGAGCACGAAGGTGTCATCGACGACCTCCGTCTTCGCATCGGCAAGCTCGACAAGTACTGGCATCGGTCGATGATCGAGTCCGCCGCCGCTCACATTGAGCCGACCATCTTCACCGAACCCCCAGTCAAGTCGGAGCAGCACGCCGCATCTGCATCTGCTGGCTACAAGGCTGCTTGGCCCAACGGACACAGCGTCGATCCTCACCACCGGAGAATGAGTTGGGGGTTGTCACGACCTATACTCATTCCCCGGTCATGAGTATGGACTACTCCTCTGCAAATTCTCCTAAGATTCATGGCACTGCATATGACTTAGTGCTCTCCCGCAACCTCCCACCCGAGCACCACCATAATCCCACCGACAAACTCCCAAAAATGACCTTCCCAACCTTTGATGGCACCGATCTTAAACTCTGGATTACATGCACTGAGGATTACTTTGAGATGTACTCGGTTGATCCCTCTGTTTGGATCCAATGCTCTCGCATGCAGTTCCTTGGCCCTGCAAAGCGCTAGATTCAATCAATGACTGAACAGCTGAAGACCATGAAATGGTCTGAATTCTATCAAGCTTTGCATACCCGCTTTGATCACGATCAGCATGAATTTCTCCTTCCCAAAATGAACCACATACGCCAAACATATTTTTGTCCAGGACTATGTTGATCGTTTCTCTGAGCTAGTTGACCACCTCAAGGCCTATGATGCCAATACCAGTGCTCTGCATTATATCACTCGTTTCCTAGATGGCTTACATTCCAAATTTCGTTCTGTCATTCTTGTTCAGCGCCCCGATTCTCTGGATACTGCGTATACTTTGGCATTGTTGCAGGAAGAGGCGGCAGAGTCATCAAGGAAACGTGACTTCAAGCCATGGACTCAGAAGGCTGGCTATCCCCTTCTTCCCAAACAAGATCGTGTGCAAGCAGGGACGGCGGACAAGTCCGCCTTCAATCAGCGACCGCTGGACAAGAAGCTGGCTGATCTCAAGGCTTACCGGCGTGCCCGTGGCTTGTATGATCACTGCGGAGAGAAGTGTAATCGTGACCACAAGTGTGCGCAGCAAGTGGGAGTCCATGTACTGGACGAGCTCTACGCTCTTTTCTCTGACGACATGGTGAACTGTCCGACAACATATGGCGATGATGGGCCAGAGCCGAAAGAAACTTGTTGCTGCCTTTCTTCTGACACTATAGCACATCCGGGGGTAAAGACATTGCAATTCCAAGGCATGTTTCAGCAGCAGCCGGTCTTGATCCTCCTAGACTCAGGTAGCTCCACATCATTCATCAGTCAGCAGTTACTGTCCCAACTGTCAGTCAACCCAGTTCAGTGTCCTTCACTAGCTGTTAAAGTAGCCAATGGTGAGCTGATGCAGTGTTCGGCTCAATTGCCAGCAGCAGTATGGAGTATTCAGCAGTATCAGTTTACTCATGCTTTGAAGGTT